TTACACGAAATAGGTTGAATACATCTCATTACAATGATTTACTGGTAGTCTCGAAACCCTACTTTCTTACAGAAAATGTCTGTCAGGGGATCCCCGAAACTGGAGGAGATTGTCGCTGGGACTTGGTAATCCTGAAAAGGAATGCTCTATCACATACCACCACCCATAACGAAATCACTTAAACGATTGATATGGCAGATGATTCAACAAACCCTAGCTGTCCTCGGAGCGTACAAAGCAGTGGTGCGTCAATTCATATCGTTTGTGGGATTCTTTGTGTTAGTGTTCTGCCTACTCACCCATTATCATCTATTAAAACTGCAAAGATGACACTTTATCAGCAGCATTGCTAGGGACATTTTACAAAAATTAGATGAACATAACCTTTTTCAATCGAAGGTATGAAGACCAAGACTCACTGACAATGCCGACTATGATACCGGCGAAACGTCTGTGAATGTACCACATCCACGGTCTGACTTTAGAAATGATGATGCATACAATGGACTCCGGACTGGGTGTGTTCCTCTAAGTCTTCCTACCAACATGACCGAGTTGCCAAAACAAGGTCATACAACTTCTATAACCTTTTTTATTTTTACCGTGTTGTGTGCACTTGTAATCAAGATATATGTTTATGTATATCTTCATATATGCACAAAATATATGTATACAGAGTGGATATAGATAGATGGATATGTATGTGTATATATGCATATACTAGCATGCAAAGCCTACGGCTTTGGGCCAACCAACTTTCTTCTCGAATGAAAGTTGTGTATCCCACTCTAAACAGGTATAACTATCTTGACCTCTACTCAGAGAATCAGTATTTCAATGAGACTATTAGTAAGCACACTGTGATGGCAAGTATTGAAGTGAAGGCGTAGACAAAAAGCAAGTAGAACAAGAGCAAAAAAAAGGATAGTTGTTGCTCAAACGGTCGCAGTCTGCAGAGTTGCTTACTCGAGGCTGATCGGCTCATAAAAGGAAGTACTAGAGGACAAACATGTGTGTGTGTGTGTGTGTGTGTGTGTGTAGTAGATTTCACATCAATAGCAGTAGTAGTAGAATAAGCAGCAACACTAGTAGTAGTAGTACTAGCAGTAGCTGCTGCTGTAATCATCTAAGTTGTCGTTTTATTCGTAATAGTAGTAAAGGTAGTATTAGAAGTAGCATTAGTGATATCGGCAGTGGTTGTTGTTACATCATTAGTAGTGTCAGTGAAACTAATAGCAGTAGTAACAATAGTAGAAGTGGTAATATAAACTGCAGTAGTAGTTACGATAGCAATAGTATTAGCAGTAGTAGTAGTATAAGTAGTAGTAGTATTAGTAGTATAAATTGTCCTCTCTACGTTGCTTGGAGTAAACGAATGCGACGGCATGAGCGACTGACACCAGCTGTCGGCCGAGCGCCGACCAACGCCCCATTGGGTGGCCGATATCCGAAGGGCGACCAGCTTGCTGGCCAGTTCACACCGTCTGCCCACAACTTGGTGTTTCCCATTGTCCCCTTTTTCCGGCGGCTCAATCTCCTCTCTCCACCCTTTAGGGGCTGACAAACTAAGCCCAACTATAGCGCACAATCCCTACTGTCATTTCCCCACCTGAGCACGAGTATATTCGCCCACATGCTTTTTAGCATTTTCTGTTGGACTAAATGTGTCGTTGTGAGTCTATGCACATCTCCCGATTGCCAGCTTTTTATGTGCATTTCAGCATAACAATGTAGACACATAGATATATGTGTGTGTGTGTGTGCATGTGAATGGGTGTGAATGATTGTGTGTTCATTTGGATGTGTACAATTTGAACTTGAATGGTTAGACTTTTGGCAAGTTACCGGTCGCTAGTGGCCAAAAATTAAAACACCCTTGCCTCCATAACGCTGTACACACATGCATACGCAAGGATACGCACAGCCAAGCATGTATGCACAAACGCAATGCTGTAAGGGTAGGAAAAGGAGGGGGGTAGCAGGCGAAATTCCACAGATTTATGCCTTTCGAGAATCAAACAGCCACCGAGTCAGGTATGGCCGGTCAGAGTTCGTAATTTCCTGTTATTGGCACTAATCGTCCATTCGCCCACAACTTTCTCTTCCAAACTAACTACACCTCACGGAAATAGGCACAAGTACATGCAACTGGCTGCATAACTCGTTTAGACAAGAAGACCTTGGGCCAGACGCGGAAACACCTGACAGTTGAGGTAATTACAGGCAAAGAGAAAATGGAGCCCGAATTTTACATATAGATAAAGTGTTTTATGTTGGCGCAGAAGATTAGCCATTTTTGAGGAGCGTCTACAGTTAAAACTAAGAGGGATGAGGTGAACAGGAGAGAAAAAGGTTAATCGAGTTTAGACGCGGAGGCATTCAAGCCTTAAAATAGAAAGTGCGAATACTTTGCATGATAGATCTATTAGGTTACTTACGAAAACTTCGAAGGAATAGAGCGTCATGGGCATTACTATTTGAACTGAATGTCATCATAACTGGAAAAAACTCATGAGAAAAATTCTCAAATCATCTCATCTAATCTCATCTCACCTGAGGTCTTTACAAAAATTAAATTAGTTGAGATCTAGTGATTTAAGATGAAATGAGTTGAGATAAGATAAGATCAGATCAGATTAAATGAGATGAAATGAGTTGATATGACATAAGATGTGTTGAGAAGATATAAAATGAAAATCAAAAGGAATAGATGAGAGTAGATAAAAAGAGATGAGATGAGTTGAGATGAGGTCAGGTGAGAAGAGCAGAGATGAGACAACTATAAAAGGGATGAAATGACATGAGATGAGAGTAGATGAGATTAGATGTGATGAGATGAGATGATATGAAATTAGGCGAGATGAGATGAGATGAGATGAGATGATATGAAATTAGGCGAGATGAGATGAGATGAGATGAGATGAGATGAGATGAGATGAGATGAGATGAGATGAGATGAG